ATTATTGCAATGGGGTCTTTTTTAAAATCAAATTTTTAAATTTCAGATAATTTCATTGTTTATAATAATAACAGACTATACAAAATCAAGATTGAAAAAAAATTAAATATAAAACTGGTTGAGTACAGGCCAACCGTTGGTCGAATATGGTTCAGACATTAAAAACTGGTTAAGTACAGACAGAGAATGGGGTTAATTAAGACTATAACAGACTGGCAGATTATTAGTTCAGACTGTTAGTTAGTATGGTCCAGATAATTAAGGGTCCAGTATAAATAAGTTAAGTTGAGTCCTGCTAGTATAAGGGGACCAAGAACAAATTATGATTACACAAAAACCATTGGTCTACAATTACTGCATCATTTATTTGAACAAAATTGTCAATTAAATATCTGTCATATAAGGTATTTTGAATCCCATGAACATTTGATCCCCCCTGAAACAAGAAAATTCTGCCTTTTACTTCGATCGTATACAGTAAACACTCACTTATGGCGTTTTACATGGTGATTATGACGTCAATAAGTATATATGCCAAGCTATAAAGCCGCATCATCCCCATTGAAAGCATGGCCCGGCTATATATACTACCAGTGTTCTTTAATTTCATATACTTTATACTTTATACAAATTGTGATTACCAGTCCAGAAATTTTTATTCTACTGGTACATCCAGTGGTATAGTTGAACATAGATTCAATGTTATTACACGTTGCTATGCATTCTATCAGGTTCCAGTTTTACTCGGAGGTATAAAATAAATGCTTCAACCCTGTACTCAATACCTGCTTTATTGATCCTTTTTAATTAAAAACATTTCTATAAATCTTTGATTCTCAAAAATTCAAAACTATGATCATGATGATATTTCACTTTGCCATTATTGATTTTGTTAATACTTATAAAACTTATTTTCAATTTAGTATGTGTAACTTGGATACAAAAAATATAACTAACATAAAATTTTAAATCCTATTAAATATTTGTTTGATTCAATTTCCAAATTTCCTTTAGGTGACTTTAAATTTGCATTTTCTTTACTTATATCATAGATATTTGACACAGTTTAAAAAAAAATTAAATCTGTCCCAGATGATTTATCAAGGCAGCCACCTAATCCGTGGCCCCTCTTTTTGTTATAGTAGTAGTAGTAGCAGCTAGAACTTATATTCATTTCGCTATTGCCGATGTTTATTTTCCCCTTATTTAAAGAGGGTAGGGATGCCCTTTACCGTCAGGCGTCAAACGGTCATATTCGGCTACCGTTAACATCAAATTGGTTAAAATTTTATCGTGATTCATCAGAGGTCTCAAATAATTTGTCGTTACCATTTTTTTTGGAAAGAATTTAACACGATTAGTAAATATCAGTATATTGCTTTATCGTCATAAAGAAAGTGTACAGTACATTTTATCATCATGCACTTAAAACTATCGTTAACGTCATTTGGCTAGATTTTTTATCGTTATTCGTCAAGAAGGTACCCCCATTACGACCCTCTTTAAACTGATTCACTGAAAATATTTTTAAGTTATTGTCATGGTTATTTTACTTTTATTTAAATGAAAGGGATCCCATGTATATTTCCCGTAATATACTTGTATTGTTTGAGCTTGTGATTTTTGCCATTTGATATATATTAAGGGATTTTCCGTTTTGAATTTTCCTTGGAGTGCAGTATTTTTGTAATTTTACTTTTCAAATTTTGTGGATCACAGTACATCTATGCATAAAAGAACAAATGTTTCTTGTTCATGTTGAATACATAGTGGCAGTATTTCTTGCATACTCAGGACGAAAACAAAATACGTCAATTCTTCAAGGCTTGTTAGCACAAATATAAACTGCCTCTTTTGAAAGAGGATATGTGAGATAGGGCAGAAATTTTACCTTACAACAGGCCACCAATAATTACAGACATCTTAAGGAGATATTACAAGGATTCTTTAACGTGCAGTGCGTGGCATTTGCCTGCATGAGGCATTGGATTTTACGTTTCCATTCCGATAGGACGTGTCTCGTATCTATACATCCAGCACAACATATAAATTCAAAGCGAGGTTTAAATGAAATTTGAGGAAGGTGAAGAGTAGGCCACGTTAAAATGTGACATTGCCGAACTATAGCTTTGGTAACTTTTGACCTAAAATAATCTTCAAATATAGAACTGTTCAAAGGTTAGTAAGTACACAATAGGACGCTCTATGAAATTGTACCACATGGTTCTATACCTCAAAAGGAAGGTTGGGATTGATTTTGAGGGTAATGGCCCAAACCGTTGAAAAAGAGAGGCGAAAGATACCAGAGTGACATTCAAACTCATAAACTGACAACGCCATGGCTAAAAAAGAAAAAGACCAACAGACAAACAATAGTACACAAAACACAACATCGGAATAAAGGAATTAAGGGGCAAAAAACAAGGATTTTCTGGTATCAAGACAATAACTTAAGGGAGCTACCATTTGATTTTTATGGGTGGGTGGGGGGGGGGGGGGGGGGGGGGGGGTATAGGATGAAATTGGAAAAAATTAGGCTGGACAGGAGTTTTGAGTAAAAAAAAAAGGCAGTATGAGATTATTTGCAAAAAAAAAGGCAGGATGACAATTTAGTTTAATAAAAAAAGTCAGGATAAACTAAAAAAAAAGGCGACCGAATAGAGGGAAAAATAAAAAAACCAGGACAAAATTTTCGATCCTAGCCTCCATAAAAATCAAATGGTAGCTCCCCAAGTATAAGTCTATGAAATTATACCACTAGGTTCCATACCAAAACTGAAAAGTTGGGATTAATTTTGGGGATTATGGCCCTGACCGTTTATGAATAAGGACCAAAAATAATACTTTTCTAATACTTTGTATAAATTGCTTACTGTCAATTCAGAAATAATTGCGAACTTTTTATTAATGCAAATAATCCAACTGATTGAGTATCACAATAATAACTTGTATTCTTATATCTGATACAAAGATATGTATGCAGATTTTCATGAAATAACAATAATTAATCTCGCATTTTTGTCCATTTTAAAAAAAATTGCAATAATTTCTGAATTTACAGTATTTCTTGACCAATTTGAATGGGGACCCCGGGTTTAATTCCAAGTCTTGAATTCTTGGGGTCTTTATAATGCTGAATCTAACCATGTCTTTAGATTTTGGATTTTGGGCTCGCTATCAAATTGGTTCACATTGAGGTCCAAGGGGTCTAAAATTAAGCTTTGTTTGATTTCATCAATAATTGAATTCTTTGATATGCTGAATCTAACCATGCATTTATATTTTGGATATTGGACCATAATAAGTAAATGTCCAATTTCAAATTTTTAAGTTCTTAGACCACATTCATTCTAATTTTTTTGTCAGAAACCTATGTATCCTGTGTCAAATATTTCATCACAATCAAAATTCTGAGCTGTATCATACTAGTGCCCTAAGTGTTCAGGTCGTATCAAGCTGCGCCCTGTGGAACATATTATTTTTAAACAAACCTATCCATATCAAACACCATCATCTTCAACAGACACACTGTGTTTCACTGTGCCAACATGCAAAACTTTTATTGCGTACCAAAGGATACTTTTCCGCTGATTCACTCGAAAGTTACCTGTCGATTTAAACTTTTGTAAGTTCTTTTGTCCCATCTAATAAAAACAATAGCTATTGTTCTCTGTGCAGTTTATTCACTGGGACCTTTAAATTTCTTCTAAGAGAAATCTATCACTCATTGATTAATTTATCCGAGTTAAAAAGTGATCTTCTAAATTGATGAAAATACATGTATTATTACTCACAGAACTGCATGTGATGTTGTATTATTCTTCAATATAAATAATATATTTTCAATCTGTTTAATATAACATTGATTTAATCATATGACAAAAATTTTATCATTGTTCCTATTGAAATTTGCAATTTTTGTGTGTTTGTTATACGCCCGTCAAAATTTTGACGGGACGTATTATGGTATACAAATGTCCGGCGTCCACATGTCCCACCTCAACTTGAGAACAACTTATCCAAATTTCATGAAACTTAATATAGTTGTTTCTTATGATGGTCAAACGATCTGTATACTTTTTGATGAAAATAAGATTAAAATTTTTTGAGATACGGAACTTTGTGTAACTAAAACAGGGGTATGTATTTTTCACATGTCGCGCCGTATCTCAAAAACGATTTACGATTATTGCTTAAAACTTTACACACTTCTTAATTATATTAATCTAAAGATCTGTATACACTTTTTGGTGATGATTCAAAATTTTATTTTAGAGTTATTGATTTTTTTATTAAAAAAAAGGGGAGTTTTCACATGTCGCGCCGTATCTCAGAAACTATTTATGATTATTGCATAAAACCTCACACACAAGACGACGAGCATATCATGCCTCGTGGCGCAGCTGTTTATTTAGTTATAGAATACATTTAAGAAGGCCTTGATCTAAACATCGTCATTTTCTAGTTCTTATTTGTCAAACACACAAAAAGACAAATTTTAATAGGAACAATGTTGAAAATTTTGTCATAAATCAACTTTTAAATTTTGAATAAGTGTTAATTATATTGAACAAATTGAAAATGTATTATTGATATTGAATAAATACAACATCACATGCGTTTTTGTGAGTCCTTATTTAGTATTGGTACATGTATTTTCACCATTGAAAGTTTGATTTTTTGTTCAGGTAAATTAATCAATGAGTGATAGATTTCTCTTAGAAGAAATTTAAAGGTCCCAGTGAAATAACTCCACAGAGAACAATAGCTATTATATTTATTAGATGGGACAAAAGAACTTACAAAAGTTTAAATCGACAGGTAACTTTCAAGTGAATCTGTGGAAAGTATCATTTGGTTCACAATAATGACGTCTGTAAACTGATGAAAGTCTAATGGATGCTTTGTAAAACAGTACACTGGTACTTCTCAAATAACAACTATTATACAATTTTGTTTATTATAAAGCAAAATACAATGTATAATAATATCATGCATATATAAATAATGAAAACATATTTATACTGTAAATTCAAAAAAAATTTGCAAGCATTTATTTAAATTAATTATTGTCATTAAGGACATGTTGCAAATAAATAATGCTATCAAAATTTAAAATATAATTTTATTTTTGCAAAATCTATCTCGGTGTAGCAATTTTCAGTAAAAAAAATATATCAAAAATCTGTGAATTTTCAATAATTGGAAAATAAATAACAGCATTAAAAACAAAAATTTGTGAGTTTACAGTAAATGGAAAATAAATAATAGCATTAAAAAATTAATCATTTGGCTTTCAGAATTATCACTTAAGGATTTTAATAAACAAAAATGCAACATATATGTGGTTTGCATGATTATTATTGTCCACAGGATTGAACACACAAGGCAGCAGCAGGAACACACCTGTAAAAGGAATAAAATAATATTTCATTTGTTGACAATTCAAAGTTATTAAGTAATGTTAAAATATATGAATTAGGTAATGTTTAAATATTTGAGTGGCAATTTTTCTTTTAAATAGACAGATATTGTTGTATGTAAAAATACTTGTTTTCTATTCAAATTTATTGATTTACCAAAAAATATTGCAATAGAAATCGTGCAGCTAAATTTGTTATAAAATGGAAAGCAATCTTAATATACCAATTTTGACTTTCAAGGTGTTAAAATTACTATTACCGGTATCGCATTAATCATTCATTGAGTTTCAGACAATTGCAGAAGTTATTAAGCTGAAAATTTGAAAAATGTACATACATGGTAAAATAATTCAGGCTATTTTGATAAACTTTCATTGTTTAGTTCAAGTTTTATGATATTTACTTTGTTTTCTCCATATATTGACTGAAGAAATGAATTCTTTGGAAATTTGTATTGAAAGAAATACAAAACTGAATAAGAAGCAAAGTTTAATATAATTAAGACATCTTATCTTTGTAACAGCACTTGCAAATGAATGTGAGGGTATCTCCCCTTTACAAGTAAACAAAATTCTTTATTATCATAAAAACAATGATTCTCTTTATGATTCAGTACATGGTCATTTGGCAAAAGTTTAAAGATGGAATAAGTGAAAGTAGTTAAAAAGGACTATAAACCTTCTCAACTACTGTTTACATCTATTAAGGTAACAGTAGAAAATATCTAGACGATATAAATTGCAAACAATAAAGATTTATAGAAAGTTAAACTGTCCACAAGATTTCATCAATTGATTAAATTTGTATGTGGATGAATAAATATATTCTCACCTTGAAACAGATCCAAATGCTACCCCAGCCAGTATCCCTATGGACAAGCTGTGATGCTAACCTGTAATACAAAGTTGAATCAGTTATTTAAACTCCTCAAAATAATCTACTGTGGATTCAGATATTTTAATGGGCATTGAGGGAAAATCGAATTTCTGTGGATTCATTTAATATTCAACAATCATGGGGATTGAGGAAAAATTGGATTCTGTGGATATTTGATTGAAAGTCGATTGATAGAAAATTGGTACTTCGTTGTTGAACATTTAAAATTTGTGGTTCACTATTACTCACGAAATCTAGTGGGTATTCAGTTTAAAACTTAACAAATAGAAAAAAAAGTCAAAAACAATTTCTCTTTTCTAAGCTTGGCAGTATTTTTACCATTTTGGACAATCATATACCCTCTTTCCTCTGGAGCTGAATATCTCCATGTAATTCAATCTTTTCTGATACCTGAACCATTATTAAATTGATATCAAACACTAATAGATTAAAAAAAGTTTGTATACCTACCAACATGTTAGCAGTATCAGATCTCCAATTCTTACTCCCAACACCATGAAATCATTGTCATTACATCAGCCTATAAACATTAATAAAATAAATGGAGAATGTGTCTATGGGCCACAGATGCCCCCGCTTGTAAATATGCATGAGTCAACTTCCACATAGATCGCTTTGTGACCATAAGCATTGTGTATAAGTTCATAACATTTGGTTGAGGCAAACTAAAGTTAGAGAATGGAAACCAATTTTTGAGATGGACGGGACAGACAGACGGACAAGGGTTACACTTAATGCCCCCTCCAATACGGCAAAGGCATAAAGATATACTTGTTTGATTTATTCCTTTTACATATCAATCCTAGCACGAAAGATTTCTTTAACAAAACAGTATATTAATAACATATACTTGTTTAAGAAAACTATCGGTGCTTCAATTGATCTGTTATATTTTCACAGCAATATGGCATTATAGCCGTGAGAATATAACATTGTAAACCAATGATCTTATGTTGTGCTGAACACCACTGTCCCAGGTTAGGGCAGGGTTGAGCGCTCACAAACATGTTTAACATCGCCACATTCTTTATGCGCCTGTCCCCAGTCAGGAGCCTGTAGTTCAGTGGTTGTATTTGGTTCATGTATGTCATAATTCTACCAAAGAATGAACTTTTCTAGAAATTTGAAGGGAGGGCATCAGCAATAATTCACAATTTGAATAATGGTATAGCTTATTCCTTGTGACAAAAAGCAGAATGTATTGGTTTTAAAATCTCAATAGGTTCATTAAAACACTTCGACCAGATGTAAAGGGAGTGTGAACGGAACAAAGTAAACCAAAATACTCCAGAAAGGAAAAAGAAAAATTTACAACGCACCGGACAGAAGACTAAGGTTCATGTGGAAGAAAAGGATCGAAGTAAATGTACAGATAGATATGAAAAAGGGCAACCTGATCCAAAACTTGATGCTGCATTTGTAAAAGCATAAAGAACGATCATTCATATGGTAGAGTAATACCTACTAAGAAGAATATACCTACCAGAAGCTGTTCTTCAAAAGTTCCAAAATCAAAGGAAGATATAGCTGCATTCATCTACTGCTGAAAAAGATACAGACAAAATTAACGGTCCTTTTAAGGACCACCAAAATCTTTAAAAAGGAGTCTAAAATTGTTGTACATTCAGTTAAAATTGTTTATATAAGCTATAGCCCTACCCCTTATATATCTTCCAAAAAAATCCAGGCCCCAATCTGGAAAATTGGAGAGCCCCTGGCAAGATTTTCTGAGTTTACGAAATATTCTGTGGTTATTTATGTGATGCAGCTCTTCAGTAATGTGACCCGCATTCCCACACAAACTTTTTTGACACATAAAATGGCATAAAGTGTTGTATTTAATATTAAAACTAATTAAAAACCATAAAACTGAATCTATGGGCTTTTTTCTTTTTCCAGGTCCCAGAAATATGATACTGGAAAGAAATAAGCCCATATTTTCCATCTTTTGTTGTCCCCTGATCCCATATAAGACATTTGTTATTTCTTGCCAGGTGGCTCTTTTCTAATATTCTTTGCTGATATTTTTTGAAAAATCCCTCCATTTTAACTTACAAGTGTATGAATACATAATACCATCAAAATGACCTTACTGTGACCCCTTCTGAAACTTTAAATTAAAAAACAAACTTTTTAAAAATTTCATAAATTTAAATTTCAGTTTAATTTAAAAAGTTTAATTCAAATTTTAAAAATAATTACACCATTGTTTTTCTTATTGAATTTTCAAGTTTCTGCCCAAATTTCATCCATGTAACCCAAAAAATAAGCTTACAATTGCAGATTGAAGTGTTCAAAATATGCCCTCTGACAGGAACGGGGACCCAGTTATTTCCCCCATTGAAACGCATTGAAAATCATAGTAAATAAATGGGGTGCTGTCCAATAAATAATTTTGATAGCCACCTTGGCTATATTTTTTTTAAGAACTACATTCGTAGGTACCGGACTGGTTGCCGTAACTGGGATCCTATTCCATGTTCAAATACGTTCAATCAATGGATATTTAATTCATTTTGTATGATCAATAAAACAATCATTCAATTATTTGGGAATTAATAAGTCTTAAATTTGATATGTTTTACATCTGACATCGATTTTTCACTTGTCCAATCAGACAAGTAGTATGGTGAATCCACTTGCCTGACGCCTGTGTCAACTTGTCCCGGACAATCGGACAAACGGTAATGTCGAGCCCTGGTAGGCCACCAAGCCTAACTCCAAATACCATGAAACATGTCCCAGAAATAACCTAAAAGGAACTAGATATCATTAAGATGGGAGCCATTTCTGTGGGCCCTGCTGTGAATAATGTGTGGTAAAAAATTTGTATCTTTATGATTGGATATGGGGTTGTCAACTAAAACCAAAGTTTTTTACCTTGACCTTGACCTTTGACCTAGGAAGTTGTACATACATTATGACACACCCTCTGGTGTTGGTTAATATACATGTCAAGTATAAACTTTGAAATCATAACGGTTCTCTAGATATAGAGCTAACACAATTTGTTACGGACAGACTGACGAACAGAAGGACGGACAGACTGATCACTATAGGGCATCCGCCATTTGGCGGGGCCCTAATTAAAATTGACACAAATTATATATTTTTCCAATTTAACTAAACTATCATCCTTAAACTTTATAAAAGTTTTTTCGTTTCTTACTACCCAATAATATAGCATCAGTCCTGTCTGTGTAGGAATTTAAGAGCTGGAAAAAGGTTTGATTTCCAACTGCACAAAAATTATCCAAGTAATCTCCCATTGAATGAAACATTATTGTTTTATTTGTTGTACTTGTCTCCCCGTAAAGATAAAATGGCCCGAGAACACAGTTATTTCGTAGTGCATTTCTTTTGGACAATAAATGATAACTAAAAAAATCACACCTGTGCTTTCTCAATAATATTTTTAGTGTGGTGTACTACTTTTGGGACAAATTATATCAAAATTATAGAAAACTTCATCAGCTCTAACTCAATATGTGTACAATTTTATGTTAAGGGGTCTTGAATTCTTTTGACAGCTTCCGAAATACTAATTTTTAACCTTTTTTAGCTGGACCAAATCACTATTTTAAAATTCATGACCCAAATTTTTTTAGTGTAATTTCATCCCCCTACTTGCTATTTGAGGCATAAAACATGGAAGAAATAAATTTGGAAAGGGTATTAAAAAAAATTGCAAGTAACACTCTGTCCACACTAAGACTGTATTTGTAGACAACGAAAATCAAAGGACGATAACTGTTCCTGGACAAAATAATTTGATATTATAATTGTTTTCATATACCTCGTAACTTATTATAAAATATATGAAAATGGTAAATGAACTCGCTATTGGTGTTATGAATGAGAAAGATAAAAATAATCATATTGTTTGTTGTCTTGTGTACTTTTATGTACTGATGTTCATTTCTATAGAATCTATAAAAATTGTATGGCTTAAATAAACTTGCCTGATTTCATTCATGGTACAGCTTACGACTTGGTTCAAGATCTATTTAATCATCTTCCTTGGAACTGCTATTGATTCCTTACTGCTGTTAAGTGTTTTTCAACATTGGTTTTTATGCTATAAAAATCCACTGTCCACTTGAATAACTGAAATGTCTGCTTCATTCACAATATATAAAATAAAAATATACAGTTTGTCACAAAATTTTCTATTTTTTTTCTAACAATAATTTTTTTTCCCCCGATCATGATGATTTACTGGATTATTATAACATTATGTATTAAGTACCAGAAGTGTGTTAAAACATATCCAATATTTTGAAAATTTCCAAAAAGTTGGTTGTAACCCACAATTTCTTCCACCCTTTAAAACTATTATCTAGAACTCTCCTTACAGTAATGTTTATTTACAAAGCTCTATATAATAGCAATAGACTAGTTAGCAGACATTTGATATATAAATACTTATACACATATAGTAGACATAATTAAAAAAATTGCCTACACTAAAGGAACTTCCAGTACAAGGAGTAAAACAGGGGTATTACCTCCCCTTGCCCTTAATTTCAGCCTGTTTGGACTCCACTTCCATCACAACTGAAAAACACAGTATCTGTAGTGAAAGGCTTCTGTATGATACATTTAGTCAGTAACATGTCGGTGATAGTATGAAATAAAAAATTAAAAATCAATTAACTTTGTCGACAGTCTTTCTATATGTTTCTTTAATTTTCAAGACTAGACAAAAAAATGCAGAGCAAAATCGAATTGTTTAAAATAAATCATCAACCATTTCTTAAATTTGGAAGCATAGTTAAATACAGTACCTCTTCCTTTCAGTCGTACTAACATTGATTTAAACCTTTAACTTGGCAATTGGAGAAAATGTTGAAAACAAAACAAATTTCAAGCCTCGCTTTTTAAAAAAATAAATTAACTGTTTAAAGTGGAGAAATGTCTTCTCACATTCGATTCAAAGGTAGAATCTACATTTCTACAAATTTTGAATTTTAAACCTGGGGGATTTTTTAAGAACGGTTATGCAACATTTTCAACATTCACAATGTTAAATGGTTTAAGGAACTATTTACAATGAGAATCATACACAAGTTTAATTTTAAGATAACACCCATATGAATGTTTCATCTAATGAATGTAGACAAAATATAGATGACAGCCTAGTATCGAAGGTCCAAGGTTGAAAATTATCCCAAGGTTTGATATATTTCATGTGTGAATTATAAAGATTACTGGAAGATGATAGTTTCAGGTGACTGAATGAAAGTATTGGAAATTATAGATAATAATCTTTTTTTTTTGTTCGGTCAAAACAATATAAAATATGTGAAGTACCCAGATCATTCACATTAGACTTACTAAAAATTATTTCTACTGCAGGTCTTCCTTCGTTGCCGTCTTGGCTTTTCAGAACCAGACAAAAAGCCGATGTACATATATACTTTTTGGATTTTTTTCAACTTGTGCTTAAATTCAATTCAATATACCGTACAATATTAACTTTTATTTGGAGTGCTTAAATTTAATTTAATATTCAGAATGCATTTTTTTCAATTTTTTTCGATTTCAGATGCATCATATCGTGTCAAATACAATTAGATTTTGATTTAAAATGTTTTTTTACTTCATTTTGTAAATTATAAACAAAATTGAAAGCTTAATGCACTAATATTGGTCTTTTCGATCTCAATAACTATCAAATATCAAATGTATATCATTTCACAATTACATTAAAAGATCCCTTTGAATAACACACATCATATTCTGAATACATTGAAACCACTGAACCATCCATAGAACAAAAGCAAGATACAGACAATAAAACCTGACCAATCAAAACTAGCTCTAAAAACAACTATGTTAAATGTTAGTAAAGACGCAGCACTTGAAGCGCAATGTATTTCTGAAATGATCATTTGATATTTGTTTATATATATAGCAAACTTTTTTCAGATAAGATAAATATTCTGTAACAAAATTATACTTTTAACCATTATTTTAAATCAATTTCAATTCATGGTTTGTGTTTTTCTACAATCTGACAATCATGATGCATTTAGAATAATGTAAATTTGAAATTTGAAATAAAAATATTGCATGTCCTTTTATTGCAAACCTATTTTCACTTACATATACACTGTTATCACAGAGATATGTCTCGCTTTTTTGTAATTTCGATAATGCAAATGTTGAAATTAAAATAGCAACACTTTAACATGTAAGTTTTGCAAATATTCAAAGTCAATAAACCATGACTGAAGGTAAATGGCTAAACAATCTCCTTGGAAATGAGATGTGCCAATGCAAATACAACTGCATACCAAATACCATTGACTTATCATAAGTAGTTCTCTTTAAACAAACCTAAACACAAACTAATACATGTAAACTAAGCAAAATTTCAAAGTCAATTAACCATAACTGAGGGGGCAGGGTCAAATAATCTCCATGGTAATGAGATGTGCCAATGCTAATACAACTGCATACCAAATATCATTGACCTACCATTCGTGGTTCCCAATAAACCAACTTAATCACAAACTAATACATGAATACTAAGCAAAAGTTTCAAAGTCAATAGACCATGACTGAGGGGGTGGGGCCAAATAATCTCTAGGGAAATGAGACATGCCAATGCTTATACAACTGCATACCAATTATCATTAACTTACCACTAGTGGTTCCCCATAAACTCATGCACCTAATCACAAACTAATACATGAAAACTAAGGATAAATTTCAAAGTCAATAGACCATAACTAATGGGGCAGTGCCAAATAATCTCCATGGTAATGAGATGTGCCAATACTAATACAACTGCATACCAAATATCTTTGACTTACCACTAGTGGTTCACCATAAACTAGACCTAATCACAAACTAATACATTGTTGATGCCGCCGCCGACGCCGGAAACAGCAGACCTATGTCTCGTTTTTTGACTCTGTCAAGCGAGACAAAAACTGATAGAGCTAACCACACATATGTCTCTATAAACAATTCATATACATTGCCAATATTTTTTCAAGTCTTTCACTTTTTGCTGATTGTTCTGCCATCCTTGGTATAGTTGGAAATAAAATAGTCATTATTATTCAGCATCTACAGAAATCACCAA